AAAAAAAAAAAAAAAATTATAAGTAAATCTTAAAAGTAAGTTGTATATGCTTTCTTTGCTATTGTGTTGATTGTTTTGAACTTTGGGTTCATTTCTGAAGTGATTTCATAACTCAATTTTGTTCCAGTAGGGTGTCCTTAGAATGATTTGGTTTAAATAAGTTATTTTACGGAATCATCTCTCTGGACTAGACTTCAACATTTTATCTCTTTCTTGCTTTTGGTGTTGTTTTTATTTTTTTTTTTTTTCATTTTCCACCTACAAGGAAAGTATGTCATTTCATTCCATACTATATATTAAATTTGATGTCTCAATGACCCTTCTTAAAGCATGTTAATACAATTTTTGTTGATTGCTGCATGATATGAAATCGGGGCATTTTGAACAATTCCATTCTAAAAGTTTCTGATCTTTTTTAAAAAAAATAATGTCAGCCTGTACTAACCTTACCTATTAGATTTTTGTGGGTTACCTAATAATAAGTTTGTATTCATTTCCCTTAATCATATTCTAAACAAATTATTATATGAATAAGGCTGAATACATTGTCCAAAAGTTTTAGTGCACACTTCAGATGGTTTCAGAAAAAAAAAAATGTAATCTTGGGACTCATAAAGATCATTTTCCTCACATAAGCATAATTTAAAATAAAAAAAGCATTTCTCAGAGAATGAATCTTACCTGGATTCTAAATTCTAAAAATGAAGGAAGAAAACAATTGTTTCCAAGTTTTGTGATTCTCTGCTGAATATGCAAGAAAGCAATCAGATTTCTGTTCTTCAGTTTGTCAACTTTTAGATTAAACTTTATAAAGAACTTTATATTAGCATCTGATTATCCCCTCTGTTTTGTGTACAGGAAGTAACATGGTACTTCCCCCAATTATAGTGCTAGCCATTTATTGAACATTCATGTGCCAGGCACCATGCTGAGATTTTCATACACATTTTGTTTATCCCATGGGGAATGATTATTTGCAATCAATCTCATTTTTTCCTTCCTATTCATCCATACTGTTTTGGAGAAAACTTTTGTTTATCTATAAGTTTATTATTTAGTTCCTAACTAAAATTAGAAAGTAAAATTGATTTGAGCATTATGCTAGAGAAATAAAGAAATTTAAGAATAGCCTCCTAGGCTTGGCACCTGTGGCTTAAGTGGCTGAGGCGCCAGCCACATACACCTAAGGTGGTGGGTTCGAATCCAGCCCAGGTCCACCAAACAACAATGACGGCTGCAACCAAAAAATGGCCGGGTATTGTGGTCCCAGCTACTTGGGAGGCAGAGGCAGGAGACT